GTAATCACTAAATGATGCTTTATAATCACTAACTAATTTTACACGGAAATCACTAAATGATGCTTTATAATCACTAACTAATTTTATACGGTAATCATCAAAAGATTTTACCCAATAATCATGAGATCTTTGCTTTATAATCACTAACTAATCTTACATGGTAATCATCAAAAGATTTTACCCAATAATCATGAGATCTGTGCTTTATAATCACTAGTTAATTTTACATAGTAATCACATGATTTTGCTTTATAATCATTACCTGACTTTTCGTAGTAATCACCAAATGATTTTATAGTCATTAGCGAGCACTCAGATACTGTAATAATAGTGTTTACATACATATTTTATATGTAAATGCACAAATTTTAATATAGAGAATAAAGAAACTTACTTTCTAATGTATCCCTGAGATGGAGACTATAATTACCTTCATCTTGCTCCTTTAAATCCTATTCACTAACATAGTTTTTAAATAAAATTGAGATCTTTTGTCTGTATCTTGCTTTGAATTGATACTACAACATCCATACTGTTTCTTATGATGTCGTTAGTGAAAATGTTCTGTCCCATTTTACGGAATTCACTGAGCAGCAGATTGACTTGGACGCAGTAATGTCTATTTTCAAAATTGTTTACTACCCAAAACAATGTAGAATATGTTCAAATATGATTAGAGTTAGAAATAGATTAGAATATTTTGATGTTTTTTATGTAAAAATAAGAAAAAACTTTCAAGTGGTTAGATCCTTGAGACTCCAAAAAACTCAAGAGTTAGTTTGAAAACTGATAATGTTTCACAATTACAGACAAAACATTGTTATTATGAACCATGATGGTGGTTCATAATAGGGATCAAAAGGAATTGCACAAAACCCTAATAGAACGTTTGGGCAAAAAGTACCTTAAACGGTAAAGATTCAGTTCAAACAACACTTTAAAACCTTTACTATTGACTGCTAAAACTGTACACACACAAAAAGCATGCATGTTAGACTTACAAAGAAAATAAAATCTGCTCAAATGGCCCCTTTGTAATAATTCTTCTTCTTAATGTTATTATTATAGGGGTTTGTAGTTTAACTAAATAGTGTCTACAGTATCTCCAGTTTTGTTTCCTTACTTTTTTATGATCCCCATTTGTAGATTTTTAAATTCCCATTTTTTATTTATTTTGTACAGTATGAAATGGGCATTTCTTCAAGTGAACACAGAAACAACTAAGGAAAAAAAGTTTCTAAAATCATGCAACTGCTAAAGAACTGTATACTATAAAAGAGCTGGCTAATGTCATTGGGTCTGTCCATAACAAACACTTCCTAGCTTCCAGACCTCTGATCACCATGAAACTTTCAGAAAGATTCCAGACTTGATCCATCGTCCATATTTATGGGTCCCCCCTTGCTAGTGACTACTTACGGAACTTTACAAATAGCCCAGAAGAAATTCTAAATCTCCCAACTTTATTAATTTTCTCAGTTCAATGATGACCATTTCAATTTTCCATTTGCTACTGCTTTAATGAACTCTTTCTTTTTTCCAGAATTAAAAACATTTCAGAATATTAATTAAACTTTTAAAATGTAAAAACATAGAAATTCTATTCACTCAAAACTGAAACTAATTTCAGTACAGCTTTAAAATCCAATGAAAAAATGTCTGCACATGGTACACATGAATTTGTTAGTTGGGATACATTAAAACCCTATAGATCTGTGAAAACACATAAATGTCCAAATTATGGTTGGCTACCGTGCACCCAAATTTTTGAATGAAATTATATTATATAAAATAAAAAGAAACTCATTTGTAAACTAAGAATGATGATCAAAAAAAATTATGAAATGTTACATAACTAGAAGGGGTAGGAAAAAGATACTGAAGTCTGGAATTAACTAAATAACACTTTGACATAACATGAAAAAAAAAGACAAAACTTTTCCAAAAATTAATAGTAAAATAGTTAATACAGGAAAGTACGTACCACAACCATAACAGCTCGGATAGCACAGTTCCTATAAGACCATTTACTATCAATAACAACCACTGATGATAAGTTGGCCACTGAAATTTTTCTACTTTTGTGTAATGAAGAAGGAAGAATCCTGGCCAGATGATTAAAAGATTGAAGAGACCAACAAACCCTAAAATTAAAATGACTGCTGTTAAAATAATCTCAAAAACAACAGTTACCGGATGGTGTCAATAATAACATGAGAACGTGTTGTGTTTAAATGTAGTCATTTTTTTTGGATAACGTGATATACCATCACAATTAATTACACGTTATTAATCATCAGTTTAACTAAAAGACAATACATGTAAACCAAACAAAGTGCTTATATTTTACCCCTATATGAGGCCTACTTTATTTATTTGCTTCACTCTTACAAACAGCACTGATGAGCCGCGAATTTGGCGAAACTTGTCTGTTGCAGTGGAAGTAGCAAATCAAAGAATAGATTAGGTCTCTACATCATCTTTTCTTCACTGTTTTGGTGAAGAAATTAATGAATAAATGAAAAATGATCGATATTTTGTTAAAGAAAAGTTACGTGTATACTTTTCACACTTAAACAGGGACATCAATTATGTATATTTATACAAATTAGTAGTTACACCTCACTTGAAATATTGAATACAGTTTTTGGTCTCCTTCTCTGAGAAAAAGATACGACTTACTGGCAAGGGTTCAGAGGAGGAATGCTAGGATGATTCCTGGGATAGAAGATTTATCTTATAGGGAAATGTTAAGATTTCTTATTTTCTCTTAAGAAAAGAAGAGTAAAAAAGTGATGTTATTGAAGCTTACAAGATTATTCAAGGGGTCAACAAGACAGAAGCTAGAGCTGGGCAATTAACTAAATTAATCAACAATCTATTTGTATCCATTAGTGTCAGGTGAAATAATAAATTAATCAAATAATGATATGAAAATAATCACAATCAAAATTAGTGTTCCTTATTACTGTTTTAAATTACTAAACTATCCTAGTAATCAAAATATTGTCATCATGAGATTTCTTATCATTTTTGACTAATTCAAGGCTGTTCAGCTTAATCAATTAGTGTCATGATTCAGGAAAATAACCAATTAGTTAAAATTAGAGATTCTGGTTATTCATATTTTCAATCATTTCAACTATCAAAATTAATAATCAATTAGTTGGATTTAATCACAGAATAAATCCAACAATTAATTGATTATCAACTTCCACTTATTAGGCAACTTTAACAAAGGCCACTGATTTATTTATTCAATATTCCAAAGATAACAAGACAAGAGGATATAAATTTAAAATTCGTAGAAGGTAAACTAGGCCTCAATTAAAATAGTTTTGTTTTTCCAACAGAGTAACTTATGGAGGCAAGCACTTTACATGGGCTCGGTCAAATTGACCGACCATGTGACCACTCTGTACTCGTTTAAAGTTTTTATAGTTTTAATGTTATTAACTTTTAATGTAGCATCTTCACAAAATTTGACAGACTTTCAGTAAACATTAGAAGTCTTTCACATACAACAACTCAAATTTTTTAGTGAAGTATTTTGAATAAACTAAAAAAAGGATTTGTCTGTGAATATAGTCTTTTTTTTTAACTAGTCCGAGTGCAAAGTGATTTTCATGTTGAGATTAAAAATACTTTTCCTCGTCTCAAAAATCTTAAATTCCATTTGTATAATCTATAAAACTCCTAAATACATGTCAAACATCTGTTTTTAGTAAAACTTTATATATTATGTTATTTTTCTCTACCCTAACTCTATAAAAGGTTAAAACAAGATGGGATATTCATTGAACCTCTTTTGTTTGTTTGCTGAATTTTGCCCAAAGCTACTCAAGGGCTATCTGTGTTAGTTATCCCTAATTTAGAGTTGATAGACTACAGGGAATGCAGCTGGTCAAAACTACTTCTCACCCACTGCCAACTCTTGGGATACTCTTTTACAAATGAATAGTAGGATTGACCATCACAATATAACACCCCCACTGCTAAAAGGATGAGCAAGTTCAGTAATGGGAATTGTACTCACAACCCAGGGAATGTGAGCTGAGAATCCTAACCATCAGGCCCCACCTCTTAATCTTTTCTTTGCTATAAAATTTATCTGAATCTTTCTGTGCAAAAAAAAATCAAAAAAAATCTGGTCATTAAACTTGGGATCTTCAAGAGAAGTACGTGAAATGAGATATTGGTTCATATAAAATGCATAATACATTATATAAATAGCTTTAAATATTTACCACAAATCTTTAAATTATTTGTCAAAGATTTACATTAATTTTCACTTTGGTCTTGTTTTAGTTTAAACAAAACTACATAAATAGACTAAAACAATTTAGAAGACAAAATCTCAATGCTTAGTTTGATAATCTTAATTGAAATATCACATCAGGTGAGTATAAACTTACCAAAAAACATAGGAATATCTAATTTTTCTTCTGTATTTACTTTCCTCCGAAGCATCACAATGTAAGCTGCATAGAACACTGCCCCAGCAATGGACCACATGGCACCTGGTGGAAAGTAGTTCTTGATTCGTTGCTGATCTGATGCACTAATCAATACCACACCACCCATACTGAAATAAATCGAAGAATTATTTCTTGTATAGTACAAGATTTTTTAAAAGAAATATAACAAAAAAGGTCATATTGTTTTCAGAAAAAATAACTAAAAAATCCTGTTACATAGATCAACTGATCTTTGATAAGCATTTTATCCACTTAAAATAGCTTTACAAATGATTTAAGGTCTCTCAGGACTACACAAAACTTGATGCCAATCACCTTATCAAAATGCAATCTAACTATAAATATTAGGATTAAAATAAAATAAAAAACAAATCTTGGTACAAATACAAAACGACCTTAAATACAGTTCTACTACGGTAATGTTAACTGAAAAAATATCCTGAAAATAGCCTGTGTACAATATAACTATAAATATTGGAATCAAAATAAAATAAAAAAGTCTAGTATAAATATAAAACTACCTTGAATACATTTCTACTTAGGTAATGTTAACTAAGAAAATATCCTGAAAATAGCCCCATGTACAATCTAGCTACAAATATTATGATTAAAATAAAATATAAAATCATACAGAATTTATCTTTCACATGATATTTAATGTTATAAAGACACACACACACAGATATACATATATATGAAAAAATCGAAAGATGTCCAGATGAACAAATACCTATGTTTTTCTTGGTCTTTATGAGTAGATTAGTGGTTCTGTAATGTAAACATAGCTCAAAGAGATACATTTAACCATCTTTACAAATGTTTAAATATTACTTGTACATCTGTTAAGTTTATTTTCCTGCAAAGTTGATAACATGTTCCACACATATTTTTAATACAATAAAGTTCAAGCTACTGACTAAAGAATTCTCTTGTAACACTCACCTTACAACAACAGCAAGAAACTTTGAGAGTGAAAACTTATCACCAGTATTAGATGGAAACATAGCAGCTAAAATCAGCGTAAAGAGGGCTGAGGAACAAGAAAGGACATTCACAATACCAGCTTCTGTATCTAGTAAAGCTTCTTGATATGATAAATTACCTAGAAACCACTGAAATAAAAAAACAATTCATAAAGTGTGGAAATAAACAGGGTATTTGTAAATAAACCCTCTGTTATGTTACTTCTACAATTTCAAGTGCATTAAAAATGATTTGAGATTTTGAACATGTTTAATGAGACCTCAATATTAGCATGATCTAGCAAGTTTATTAGCACCCACTTCCTATTCAATTTTTTGCAGGTTGTTAGCACCCACTTTCTATTCAATGTTGCAGTTTGTTGGCACCCACTTTCTGTTCAATGTTGCAGGTTGTTGGCACCCACTTTCTATTCAATGTTGTAGTTTGTTGGCACCCACTTCCTATTCAATGTTGGTTTGTTGGCACCCATTTTCTGTTCAATGTTGGTTTGTTAGCACCCACTTTCTATTCATTGTTGCAGTTTGTTGGTACCCACTTTCTATTCAATGTTGCAGTTTGTTGGCACCCACTTTCTATTCAATGTTGCAGTTTGTTGGTACCACTTTCTATTCAATGTTACAGTTTGTTGGTACCCACTTTCTATTCAATGTTGCAGTTTATCACCCAGTTTCTGATTAGTTTTTTAGTTAGATTAAACACCCAGTTTCTATGTTACGCCACGTTTTTATAAATTGTATGGTTCATTCAAGAATCCACTTTGCATTCACCTTTTCTGTTAGTAAGCATCCAGTTTCTATTCAATTTTCCAGTTAGACATTTCAGGTGGATTAATGCATCTACAAATGAAATGTTTATTTTACATATAAATACTTTGGAACAGTTCAAATTATGGCAATAATATTTCATGAAGTATAACGTGATGTGCATGATGTACGTTTTATATTATCTTCAAGAACAGCAGCACAAAGTAAATTAATAACGATACAAAAGATTTCAGAAATAATTTACTTTACATGAACATCAAAGCTTAAATTATTTTAGTTCATAGTTCTTCACTACGTCTTATCATCACTGCTTTTAAATATTTCTAAAAAGAAACAACTGATGGTTTTGAACTTACTGGTATACAAAACAATAGAGCTACTTTTGCAACTTGCTTTACAGAAAGTTTGGTTGCCTCTCTTAAGGCAGCTTCTTGTGCCCGAACAGATGCCATATAAGATAGCCGAGCCAGAAGGGCATCGTCAGCTTGGGCATCTACAAAACAAAGGAAGAAATTAACACTCTGCTAAAAAAAAAGTGCATCTAAATAATCTTTACACCATTCGTTTACATGAACTTCTAAAGTGACTGCATGATTTTTATATCTGTTTATTACAAAAATAAAAAAATGTGTTTTAACACTCTGCTAAAAAAAGTGCACCTTTACACCACTCATTTGCATGAACTTCTAAAGTGACTGCATGATTTTTATATCTGTTTATTACAAAATAAAAAAAATGTGTTCTAACACTCTGCTAAAAAAGTGCACCTTTACACCACTCGTTTGCATGAACTTCGAAAATGTGACTGCATGATTTTTTATATCTGTTTATTACAAAAATAAAAAAATGTGTACTATACAACAAACAAACTTTATTATTTGAGAACATAGACTGGCTAAATGTAGAAGCAACAAGACCCTGAACAATAATACTTAAGACTAGGAAAGTTTAATACAAGGTACACCAGTGACAATTTCAAGCTAAGCACACCATAAAATATGTCTCTCTTTGCAGGATTATAAAATAAACTTCATATCATCACAAAAATTCCAATTTTGTGCACTGCCACAACAAGTCAACTAACTTTTTGGTTTTGAAGTAAAACTTTGTTAATTCTCAGTGATGCAATTTTCTTAAGTAAATGTTTAAAAGAATATTACTTTGAAACTGAGATAAAATATTCAAACAAAGCAAAACATTAATGGGCTTGGGAGAATTTTGGTACCATGTGTATAATGAATTACTGTTGTCTAGCTCTACAAAAAACAAGAGCAGAGTTGTTACTCCTCTTTCAACTTAAGTCATCATCCTTATAACTGATTAAATATTAATTAAAAAGAAAACTTAAAGTTTTCAAATGTATTTCTTAGCCAGAAATAATGTTTGTTTTCGTTTATCTTAAAATCATGCAAACAATAGGAATGTGTTCATACCTGATAGCTGTCTGACTTCTGTCAGTTTACTAAATCTTACAGACTTGAGCCCTGGGTTTGAGAATAAATAAGAGCAAAATATCACAACAAAATTAATTTAACTAATATTTTTTTATGTCTAAAAATCTTGAAATTACACAGAAAAAATTTGTATGGATTAACCAAAGCATCTTTACAGGTGAGACAAAGCATAAAAAACCATACACAAATATAAAAATACCTTTTACTAAATTATCACAACTCCAGAATGGTTATGAAGAAACACGACATATTGAAAATTACTACTTCTTAAAAATTTACTTGTCCTGCAAGAACGAAATTTCACCACAGGCATGCTGAGAATCGTAAGTTTTAGTCAGAAATGTTTGGACATGATGACAGGTGGTGTTTTATATAATGTCACAGCCTATCCCTAAATGAAGCAAACATTATCTGGTCATTAATCCCACAATATTCTGTACAGTACACTGAGTGGCACATATTTTTTTTTCCTATTAACAAATCTTATGTTATTGAAGGAGAAATATAAGCTATTCTACTTTTGTAAGAAAAGTGATTTAATTATGCAGTATAAATTTGTTTTCAAACACCCTGTACCATGTCCCTAGTTTCCTGAATAAAACTTAAGATTTTTAATGTGCTCTTTCTACATTTTTTACCCAAAAGACAAACAGTTTTTAAGACAAAATTGTTTTAAATATAGAGTTCTCTTTATAATCACCCAACTTTTCCACAGAGTAATGTTGCAACTAATTAATTAAGAGTCTGCTTTATCAACAGACCGAGGCAACAACTATCAAGTAACTCAGCAACAAGTTTGCAAGTTACATTATAACATGGTGTTTTCTTAGTAAAGTAACAAACACATGCCTCGGGCAGCGACACTGTCATCAGATTCGTTCCCACTACCTTTATCTCCTCCATCATGGAACCTAATCGGCACCCATGTAGAGTCGCTCTACAGAAAGAAACAATGACAAAAAACATATCAATCAGCTTATAACATCTAAGAATTATTAGAAGAAAAACAATTGCAGAATACTCTACAAATTATGTACAAATAACAACGATAAAGATACAGAAAAATACTTTACAAAATATACTTAATCATGATGACTTTGAAATACCAATCATGTTAGTTTAAGGCACTTATTATGATATCAATTATAATGGTATCCAAACTTTTATTACAATGTATCCAAGCTATTATTTCAATGATATCCAAGTATCTATAAAATGAAGGTATTCAGGTGTCTGTTATAATGGTATTTATATTAACAATATCCACTTCATTT